CAGTTGAATGCCATTAAATAAATCAAGGAACAATAACGTAATCATGGTTAATGAATTGAGAAGAGGCTTCTTGTGATGACCGAAGTCTGTGCATAACTTTTCAAGTACAAAATCAAATAGCATTTGTTTGTATCAATTATTTTAATGAGTTTTGATGTTTTCATCCTTAAAAGAGTCTAGGATCATTGCATGCGCTTATTTTCGGTTTAAATCTGTCTGGTATAGCAAAACAATTTTAAGGCAAAACCACTAAGAACTAAAAAAACTCTACATAAAGTATTTTTATTGTATTTTAGAAAATTAATGACGAGAAGTGTATCGATGTAAGCTGATTTTAAGACTGGAAAAGAATGTCATAAAGTGAGCTTCTTTATTGCCTTTTTAACTGTGGAGTTCACTGTCCAGGAAACTTGATTGACAAGCTATTAAGTATTAATTCGCAGTTGGCGTCTTGTTCGCCTGCTATCTCATGATCTTAAAGTCGAACAAAGTCTCAAAAAGTTATAGCGGAGCCCCCGCGCGGGCCTTCGGCGGAGCACCATAGCTAAGAAAAAATGGTATACCATCGAGTCCATTTTTCATGGACCGACACAGGGATCCCGCGCACGTTTCCTTCCGTCCGTCCTTCCGTCCGTCCTTCCTTCCTGGATTCCGTGTACCACCTTAGGAAACCCATACTCCGCTCGAAAAGGAAAAAAGCGCCAAATATTTGTTGAAAAATCGAAATGTTTTCCTTAAACATTTATATTCTATATTTGATAATATTAGAACAATTAATCACAAGGAAAAAATCCACAGAAGAGCGAAATAACAGCACAGAAATATTCCCGCCAATTTTGTGATAACTTCGACGCGTCCGCACATCCGGGAAATCGATTTGCGAAGATGAAAAGCAATTTATTTCAAGCGTATATATTTAGGCAAATATTATAAGTGATTTTACTTTGATATTTCGACAACAAGAAAGAGATGATAATGTATTAGAAATACTTCAATAATATGGACCAATATATGGGAAGAGCAGCGATCTATGCGAAATTCTTTTGTCGACAAAATTGTGTCGACTAAAAGTGTGGACATTTTGAAACCAAGACCATGCTAGCAGTTAGATTGAGAGTCTTCTTGAAACGAGTATGGTTCTGTTGAAGATGACCTTTGAAGTCTTTGAACGATAATTTATCGGAAGTTCGATAATGAAGGTAAAAAATATATTTTTGTATACAGTTTTCTGTGATATGTGAAGTTCGAGTAGTCCGGATTCAAACATCGATTATTGGTCATTATTGAAACAATGTTGATTATTGTAAGCTTATGTAGACTACTTTTTGCCGAGAAGCTTTAAATCAATTGACCTTTACAGATTATAATATCAAATTTCATCCAACGGAACAAAATCTACCGAAGTCACTGATAAGCTTAAGTACGAACTAAATTTTCATAAGCATACTCTTTCTTACGCTAAAATTAATAAATATGTTTATAATATTTGTTCACATGTCAACAAAACTGTAACTTTTACAATCCTTAGAGCAGAGCATCTACCTTTGAAAATAAATAGCAGTACTAGATAATCATTTTCAGCTTCTATATTGCTATTGGAGCTCCGCTATTAGGTGTTACCAAATTTTTATATTAGAATAACTTTATTTCAAATTCCTTTTGAAAATAGCGAGAGAACATTGGCTATAAAAAAGCAAAAACAAGCCAGGATTGACTTTGTAGCTGCTTCGAATCTTATGTCGACTAAGACGTCTTCTCTGTTGCATTTATCGCATCGCAACGCATCGGTCGATCTCTTTAAAACATCAAGCTTCAAAAACATTTTGTAACAAGAGTGCTGCACAGTTATGTCCACATAAGTACCTTAAACAAAAATAAGTTTACAGTATAATTGAATGTCCAAGAAGCGTAATCAAAGCTCGTGCGTTTTGAGAAACTTTTCTTTGTAATCTAGTATTTGCTGTAATTCCTTACGAAGATTTTCTTCGATCTCCTTTTTCTAATAGTCTTCAAACCGTACTTATTCAGCTTGCGGCTCTCCCTCGCACGGCACGCAACAATCGTCGATGTCTCAACGTTTTCGCATTCTTCGTGGTAGTTTAGCGGCAATGTTACGATACCAGGAATATACTTGTACTCKRRGTCATCCGAATCAAAGCTCATTGCCGAGTCAGAACTGGAATTTTCTGTCATTTTGTGGATTTTTGAACTAGATTTTGCCATTGATTTGCTATTCTGATGCGAAGTGTGAGAATTACTTACAACCTTGAGAGTTCGATGGTACCTAAGCTGATGTCATATCCTGTGACTCGCACCAGCTCTCGTATTTCCGGCCAAGGTGCGGTCGTAATAATATTTTTAAAAAAATCTATAAAAAATTCCTCATTGCTTCAAAATCAATTCTGACAACGGGAAATGGTTACTGAACTACTACAAATTGCTTCAAATTTTTGAATTTTTAGGGATGATGTGCACTTTAAAGGATATATGTACACAGACAATAATTACTGGTATCGATCGTATCCCATAGTTTTCCGTCTGCATTAGACCAGCGAATGCAGACAGAAACAGGTTGGCCAGCTGCAATATTTAAAATATTGCTGATTGCTTCAAAACAGACAGCAATATTGAAAATATTGCAGAATGGCTTGCCGGACTTAAGGATGAAAGAGCTTTTTAAGAAAACCACTTATCAGTCCTTACAAAGACCCAGCACCCATTCATTTATAAATTATCGACTTTAGTATCGATTCTTATGATGAACTTTAGCTCCCATACGTGTGGGACATTATGTTCCATATACTGAAAAGTCAACGCATGCTCACATTGTTTTGAATTTATAATTTGGCACAATTTTGCATGTTTTCGTCGTTTTTGTTGATTTTTAAGCCGCTACTCAGGCTATTTTGTGACAATTCATTAAGTTATTGTATTCAGATAAATAAATTCACGACTTAAAAAAACTCTAGTTCGAAGTTCGTTTAAACTTTCATTATTGGCATTGCTCCTATGATTAACAAGTAAGAAAGAAAACAATTGGATTTTGATAATATCAGTAATTATATTAGATAATTACTTCGGCATACAGCATTCGTAGGTATAATGCAGGCAGCTTCGGGCTGTGCCTCAGTAATTATCTACTAAAGAACACTCAGTTAAATCCAGAACTTATGTATGGTTATACTTGACTGGATTAGATTCCTCTCACCTCTGGCCTTTCCCCTAGTCTCCTTCGCAGACTACCCAAGACACCCTAAAGATAAAAAGGGCAGTCTGCAAAGGAAACCTCCTCACCACCACTACAATAAAACTGAACGATTCAACAACGTACCCTTATGTCGCATCTTTTAAACTAAACTATTTCAATCTAAAGAAAATAAATTTAATACTCACTTCAAATTCAAAGAGAAGATAGGGCTGCCCCCTGTTTGTTTCAACATAATTTATTCAGTCATTTGCATGAGCGCGCGCAATAGCCTTATCATTAGACAAGCATTCCTAAAGCAAACAGCGACCTAAATTACTTGTTTTTATTCACATCTCAGGAATAAGATGAAAAGAAGCATAGCTTTCTTTGCCTTAATGACGATTACTTGTATTCTTGAAATAACATTCAATCACGCGCAAGATAAAAGGATCTCTACATCTCATAATGGTACAGACGACTGTCCTCAGCCTCGAGTTGGCACGTGCTCATGTACATATTGCCGAGGGAAACTATGTCAAGTTCTTTGTTCCGGCCTCGATGCCATGCCTAGGAAGCTTTCTTTAACCGTCACTCACTTGTAAGTATTTGCATAACAACTATTCATCGCTTAAGGGACAGACAAGCCCCGAAAAAATACGAGAAAAAAGGCAAACAAACCGCAAAACTTACTAATCGAGAGACATTGTTTCTATGCGTTTTAACGTCAGTGTTTCTGCTTTTTCATGGCCTGTTTCTTTAATTGTTGGTGGACAAAGCTGCCAGTGTTTAGGTAAGGTGCGTAAAACGATAAAACATCGACTCCAAACTTGAACAGAAACAATGTTGTGCGATAAATTGAGTTTCTTTGTGTACGGTTATACACTTTGTGGTTTGCGTTAGATTTACAAGTGCAAAGAGAAATTAGAGTTCCTTTTAGCCCCTTGTGCAAGATTCGGACTACTCACGAGCTCTTGCTGGCGTATTTGTAATCGCGCCTCGTCAATTAAGTCTTTAAAAAAAGAGTCAGACTCGCACGGACTAATAAGGAGAGAAACATAGTAACGAGATCAGATCGAAAAAAATTAAGCATCTCAAAAAATATACGGAGTAACAATGGTAAGTAAAGGTCGTCGTGCGTTGAGATTTCCAGATTGATTCCAATACAGGTCATGAAATATAGCTTGGATTTGTTGAATTTTTATTTTATTTTATTGATTATTTTTTGTATTTGAGTTTTTCCTTTCCCAGTAAAAACGTCGAACCAGTTTAAATATGATCTGTGCTCCGTCACTGAGATATCAGTGGCTGTGGATGCAGTCGCCTTCAGACTCTATCACTTGTATCAATGTACTGGCATTGAGGGTGATACGTAAATTACATTATTAATGTATTCTTCATTTGGTATTCGTCTTTTCAGGGAAATAACTCAAGGATCAATTCAACAAGTACCAAAGGATTACTTCCTTAATCATACCTCCATGTTTGTTTTGTAAGTTTTCGCTGCCAGTCTTTCGAAGCAATTCTGTCTTATATGAAGTAGTGATTCGAACTGCGGTGAATAAATGTCTAATGAATATGATTGTCGCAGTGTGAATAATAAAAATGCATCGATTTGTGGAAATTACAAAATCCCAGCATTTTTGCCAGAGAAATACGAAGAAACCTTTATGAAAATCCAATTAAATTTAAATATGATTTTAATAATGCAATGTTGAATCGACCAAAAATCGAATACTAAATTGAAT